TGCAAATTCAAGAGCCTGCGACCTACCATGTCCCAGACATGTTCAATTGGAGATAGGTCAGGCGATCGTGGTGGCCAACGTAAACGGTTGATGCGATGTCGATCCATGAAGGCTATGAAGGCTAACGATGTGTTTAGGTATGGAATAAGATTAGGCTCCACTACTTCCTGCGTCGCGCTATCATATTGCCTCCGATGACAATTAGTGGTGATCTGCTACCAGAAGCAATATCACCCCATACCATAACTCCCACGGTGTGGTGAAGGTGACGCTCTCTGTCAAATTGTGGTTCACGTCTTTCTCTACACCAGAGCAAACGGTTACGCCGATGTTCAGCTGTGAGAGGTAGCACCCAATGTGGGCGATAAGAAAAAGGGCCATACTTCCATGCTTTTGATGGTAAGCCACTTATTAGCGACGGCTTGAGTACTACTGAATCTGTCTTTCAGAGCCAGAAGTCTTAACCGTCGGTCTTGTCGCTCTGTGGTCTCTCTGGGACATCCAGAATCCCTCGCTCGCTGTCCTCGGCCTTCCAGAGTCCGCGCTCGTTCACACTGCAGTATGCTGCATAAGGATCTGTTGGTTCTTCTAGAAACTTATTTTATAGATAGATCGGCTTCAAGCAATCCGACAATTCGACCCCTCTCAAAATCACTTGGCTGGCACACCCAGTGCATTCTACGCACACTAGGCATTTTGAGCAATCACAAAAATGCTTCTCAAAAAGCTACACGAAATTTGAGACTTAATTGACACCGTAAATGTACGAACACTGAGCCAAGTGAATAAAAAGTAGTAAACACTAGGAAGTAGACTAAGTGACATATAAATCCGAACACCCAGTTTAAATGGTTTTATTTTAATAAAAGTTGGTGAATGTATTTATCTTACTGTAAATAACAAGTGAAAAATTTTTCAGCCTTATCAGTTGGATATTCCGGTTTTTATACTGCTTTTTTTTAATTCACTAACGCTCTAAAAATTAATATTTCAGCCGCAGTAAAGAATCAACGTTGGCGGATTTTGGTTCTTGACATCCTTTACGATCGGTTACGATGCCTAGAGTACGGAGACCTGTACGATTTCGACAACTTAGTGAGTTTGATAGGGGCCGTATAGTGGGACTTCGGGAAGCTGGACTTTCTTTTCGGGCAATTGCAGTTAGAGTGCAAAGAAGTGTAGACACTGTGGTTAGGTGTTGTCAGGCATGGCTTCGAGAAGGCCGTACGCAAAGAGCAAGGGGCTCTGGACGCCGCCGTAGAACAACAGACCGTAAAGATCGCCGCCTAAGATTATTGGCCTTAAGGGACCGTTTCTCCACTACCAGGTCCATTGAAAATGAATGGTTTGCAGAACACGGAAGACCTATTGGCATGCGAAGTGTTTACCGACGAATGAGAAGTTTTGGCTTGTTTTCATACCGGCCACACTGGGTCCTCCCTTTAACTCGAGAACACCGACGTAATCGCCTTGAGTGGTGCAGACAACGGTCACTCTGGGATCAGAAATGGAACAGTATTGTCTTTAGTGACGAGTCTCGATTTTGTTTAGGCATGCACGATGGTCGTGCCAGGGTTAGAAGGCGACGTGGTGAAAGGAGGAATCCACAGTTTTTTGTTGAAAGACATGTTCATCACACTGTTGGAGTTATGGTTTGGGGTGCAAAGCTTATAGTTCCAGGTCACCTTTAACCTTCATCAGAGGTAACATGAACGCGCAGCGTTATATCCACGAAGTTCTAGAACCCCATCTTTTACCCTATCTTGACACCCTGGCAGATCCAACTTTCCAACAAGATAATGCCCGACCACATGTTGCAAGAGTCACAATAGACTTCTTTCAACATAATGATATCACATTGTTACCATGGCCACCAAGATCTCCCGACTCATCCCCAATTGAGCAAGTGTGGGGTATGATGGCTAGGAGATTGCTCAATTTGCAACGTCCTCCTCAGACTCTAGAAGCACTTCGAGAGGAGTTGGTGGTTGCCTGGAATGAGATACCACAGGAGGACATTGACCACCTGATCAGAAGCATGCCTAGGCGCGTTGGAGAATGCGTAGCACATCAGGGTGCATCCACACATTATTAAAGGTCAAAGGGCTTTAAAGCAGTGCAATCATTTTGAAATTTTTATCATTTACTTATTATGCTTCATCAAGTACTTATACAAAATTTTATTAAAATAAAACCATTTAAACTGGGTGTTCGGATTTATATGTCACTTAGTATATTTACTTCTTAGTAAAGTAAGGTCTGTCAAGTAAAAGCAAATACTTAATTTAGACAGAATAAGCTTTTACTTTTAGCGTAGTCTGGAAAAGTTAGTATGTTAATTACTAGCAAGTATTTACTTATAAACGTTCCAATTCAAGTATTTGCTTCGCTACACCAGTACTACGTATTCCTTACAACGCGACGGACAAAAATGTCTTCTTCTTCTCACTTGATACTCTGACAGTATTGCTGAGTATAGGAAAGCGCATTTTCAGTGTCCGAATAGTCTTTCTATTATCACCCGTTGCCGAGAATGTAATAGGTTAAACCTTTCTTGTTATCTGTTCATTGCAAGTTTAAATGGAGTCAACAGCAATGGTGATATTCAATATCCAGAATCACCAAGGAGACAAAATGATCCCATACACTGTGATAATACTCCATTTTCTGCATCACACGTAGCTATACATATATATATAGGTGAAAAATTAAAGCTTCCGCCTTTTGTTGGGTACTTCGACAAAATTTAAGCAAAGAGGACTCTTTATACTTTTTTTAATTCTCTCTAGCTTTCAATGGACTTTGCCATCATCATCAGGAGAATAGTATGTGAGGATGTTGCTAATTGTTGTTTTCGTATAGGATGAGGGAAACGTCCAGTAACATGGTGAGAGCTGGATACATGGTACAATGGTTAAATTTATATAAAATATGACAAGACAAGTTAAAGACAGAATCCTTCGTTGCGGCAAAAAATAGTCCTCTATCATCACGTGATATCGCTCAGAATTAACGGTAACGGCGTCACCGGCCGCATTTTCGAAAAAGTAGGGTCCGATGATGCCTTTTGACCACAATGCACACCACACAGTTACTTTTTGAGGATGCATCGGCCGCTCTTGATACTCACGGGGATTTTCGTTCGCCCAGATGCGGCAGTTTTGCTTGTTTACCGTCCCATTCAAAGTGAAATGCGCTTCGTCGCTGAACATGATTTTTGATGAAAAATTGGCATCAATTTGGCGGTGTTCAAGCAGCCAATCTGAGAACGTTCGGCGCGAAAAATGGTCGGCCCGACGTAGCTCTTGCGTCAATTGGATCTTGTAGGCGTGTACATTCAAATCCTTGTGGACAATGCGGAGCAAACTGGTTCTCGAAATGCCCAATTCTTGGGATCGACGCGTTGTTGATTGTTTCGCATCGTCTCTCACACTCTCCTTCACAACAGCAATATTTTCCGGTGTGCGAACGCTCCTTGGCCGGCCAGAGCCTGGCAGATTTGCCACAGAACCTGTTGCCTCGAATTTACGCACCAGACGACCGATGGTTGTTTCGTTTGGGCGGCTGTTGCGACCGAAATGTTCACGAAGCGCGCGAAACGTGTTTTTTATTTTTGCACCATTTTTGTAATGCTCTTGAATAACTTTAATGCGGTCTTCAATCGAATACGACTCCATAGCGATCAATGGTAAACATTCAACTAACAAAATGACATGTCGGTGACAAATTGACGTTTACTTTCCTGCGTCCCTATTGGACAACCCTTTATATATATATATATACTTGTATAGCCTTTGCGATTTACGGAATCGTCAGCAAATCTTCTTGGCCTTTTTATTTTTACGTGAGTGTAATCCAACGCACCGATCGCAGTAGGAATTGTGAAACGTGATTGCCATTTAATTTTTGCAACATTTAGTTCAACGACAGTTGTTGGAAGTCTAATCCAGTGATCTGCCTTCTGGTACACTTTATTAAGAAACCAACTTATCGTTTTGCAGGCTGTAGTGCGGTGAATCCCATAGTCTTCCGCTACTCCGCTCTGAAACCCTGGATCGCCTATATAGCGTAGAAATATCTCCATTTTTGTTGTTGCAGATAGTGTTCCGCCTCTGCGTTCATTATTTTCTGGCAGAAACACGGAACATAAGAAATCTACACTTTCTGAATCAAACCTTAACAAACGTTTTGACTGACTAGGGCTAACATTCCGTCTTTTTCGATGTTTTACCCCCACGTAACTGCATGAAATCTGCCATGTTCAACCGTAAGTATACTTTACAAACTATCGAGTATTTACTAACAACATAAGAATTTAACTGCCCATTATTCACTCAATTTTAAGTGAATACAGGTAACATGCATAAGTTAGTTATTCCTAAACATCGTCTACAAAGAACAAGAAACGGTTCTAACTACTACGGAATCCACTTTTATAATGTCTGGCCCAGCTCATTTAGGTACAGAATTGAAGCTTACCTCATCAATAAAGCTTTTTATACGATCGAATAATGTTTAAGTAATAAGTTTTCAAATATGTTATAAACTGTTGTAATGTGCTTGTTTGCTTTTGCTATGTTTGTTAATTTATTCGGATGTGCTTGTTCTATAGTTTTGTCTCTACTTTACAATCGTATCATTTTAGTTTTTCGGTTAATGTTGTTTTTTACAGTTTTCTGTTAAAACCCTATATCTGGTGCTGTAGCCTGTAGGCAACATCATCTTTAAACCTCAATTTCTCGTCCTCCCTGCTCTAACGGTCTGATTGGGCAGTGTTGCGCGTAAGCTACATTATTCATTAACGGAAATAATATGAGCGACCTTTGTTTATAAAAGTTGAATCAAAATTTTCAATATGGTTGCCGCGTAACAGGTGTTTGGTGCACGTATGAACCTGTAGTTGGGATTTTAGTTGCAAATGGTAAGTAGTCATTTGTTTTTATGTTCTATTAGCCTTGGTTGGTATAAACGAAGGTTGAGTCTTTATGTTATTATTTTTGTCAAAAATTGTCATCCCTTGTCCATCCGTTATAACGCAATAATAAGCACATGGGCGGTGTCGATAAGGCCAATTCATTACTTGGTCTGTATCGCAGTCCAAGCAGATCGAAAAGATGGTACTTCCCAATTTTCACATGGGTTCTTGATATGTCAGTGACCAACGCCTGGCTTCTGTATAGAAAGGGCTGCAACACAGCACGTGTAACGTCAAAACCGCTAAAGGAGTTCCGTATGGAATTAGCCAAATCGTCGGCCAACGCAGGAAAACAAAGTTCTCGTGGCAGACCATCCATTTCCTCGACTAATAAAACCCCTGCGAAAATAATATCAAACCCTATACTGCCGAGACCTGATATCACCACCCAAAAAGATGGCATAGGTCATTGGCGAACTTATGGTACAAAAGGTAGATGCAGGCAGTGTGCCAACAATCTTTTGTACCAAGTGCAATCTTAGGCTTTGTTTCACCCCAAATAAGAATTGTTTCTACCTTTTCCATTCCATTTAGATTTAGCTGTTTCATCACATTGTATTTTGTGAAACTAGAAATATATATTTTGTTTATTTCTTGATATTCGTTTTATAAATAAATTATTTGAAATGTATAGTTGTATTTCCATATAAACCAGTGCAATTAGGTTTACCTTTATCGGTCGATGTTGCTTGCAAGTAACAATAGAACCTATACTTTATCTCGCAATGTTGCTTGCAAGCAACTAATTCTAAAGTCATTTTCCCAGGTTATTTTTCAACTTTTATAATATCTTATGTCATCTGTAAGTCACAACTGATAACCTATGTCAATATTAGATTTTTTCAATAAGGTGTCGCGCAAAAGCAGATACAGGGTTAATGTTATTCTTCCCAATAAATTTTGTTGTGTTGTGACTTTACACTATAACTTCTTTGGCTTGTGTAAACACTAATAAAGAAATTAAATACTTAGAAAGTCATATTTATCGATTGGTAAGATGGAAGCTTTTCCTATTCTTACCTTTCTTCGCCTTATACTTCTTCCACCAAATATACAGCAAACCCAATAGCACTGCAGTGGATATAAAAGTGAGAATCACCGCAGCTGCTATTGACCCAGCACCATAACAGCTGGATTCCACTTCACCTCGTACCAATCCAACGTAGCATGCCAAGACCACTAAGCACCACCATATCTGATGTGTCGCCTTCATTGTCGTGTCCACGTTTTAGATTTGGACAAACACTTCGGTGATCCTCATTTCATCCGGTAACTGAAAAACAAATAGAAGTGTTAGGCGTTGAGCTTGCGTTGAATAATTATGGAAGAGATTTTAGCTCCGATGTGTGATACAGGCAGACCGTTTTAACTTCCAGGTTACTAGGCGAACAAGTATTGCAATATCTTGTTTGAGTGTTATACAGGGTTTGTCCGGAAAGTAATAGGAATCATTTTCTTCCGCCATGACTGTACTTCGGAGCGTGCGCAAACTGACTGGATTCGGTAGAGGGCGTTTCTAGCTAACGAATGAGCGGCTGGTCAGTTGTCTCCGAGTACTTGGAGAGTGTTTCTGTGAGTGGTGCAAGCCGAAAATGCAGCATTCGTTAGAGCAGAGGTACGCGATTAAATTCTGTGTGAAACTCGGTAATTCAAGCAGGCGTACCCAGGTGTTGCTTTAGCAAGAAATGGTGAGTTTCGGTGGCACCAGGCCTTTTGGAGAATGTTAAATTTACCAAAATCTGTGGTTCATGACATTGTGACACAGCATTTGAACATGCGCAAGGTGTGCGCGAAGATGGTCCCAAAAGTGCTCACTGACGACCAGAAATTGCGGCGAGTGGAAGTGTGCCAAGAAAATTTGAACATGTGTGAAAGTGACCCCCAATTTTTGAATAACGTAATCACAGGTGACGAGTCGTGGATCTTTGAGTATGATTCCGAGACAAAGAGGCAATCTTCCGAGTGGCACACGACGGCGTCTCCTTGCCCAAAAAAGGGAAGAATGAGCAAATCCAAAGTGAAGACGATGCTCATTGTCTTTTTTGACATCAAAGGCATCGTCCACCATGAATTTGTTCCTCCTGGACAAACCGACAACGCAAGTTTTACGTGGAAGTGCTCAGGATACTCAAACGAAGGGTCAGTCGGGTCCGACAAGACATCGCACATTGCACCACGACAACGCCCCGGCTCACACCGCCTTTCTTGTGAACAGCTACCTGATCAAGGCCGGCATCCCAACGCTTCCACAGCTGCCCTACAGCCCAGATGTGGTCCCCCGGACTTTTTTTGTTTCCTCGCCTGAAAAGGCCGATGAAAGGCAAGCATTTTGAGACGACAGAGGGGATCCAAGCAGCATGCACCGCGGCTCTCAAGGCTATTCCGGAGAATGCTTGCCGTGACTCCTTCAATGCTTGGAAATCGCGCTGGCAGCGCAGAAGGAGCCTATTTTGAAAGTTTTTAAAGAATTGTAACGATTGGCTCAATAAATTTTTTTAAATCGACTCAGTCCTATTACTTTCCGGACAAACCTTGTATGACAAATTACGAAAAACCAAGTCGCTGATTTCCATCGGTCTGTTCGGTAATCCTTGGACACTCTTTAACTTGGAGAATACCCGTCGTATTTTGATGAAATTTTTACACAAGTTTAATACTACGCCAAAGACGAAAAAGCTTCATAGTTTTTGAAAATCGAAACAGTGGTGGCGGCGAAACAGGGCAAAAACGAAAAAAAAATATGAGTCGCCCATACGTCATTTTTTTAACGTTTCAGAGAATCCTGATCGTTTTTGAAAAAAAATTAGGGGTAAAAGTGAGCGGGTGGTGGTTGTAGGGCTGTAATTGTGTTCTAATTTTAATGCAATAGCAGATAATTGTGATATTCATTATGACAGTATCGTTGAGGTAACGACTAAATCCAATGACTATTACTATCTAATATACAACTTTTGATGTGCATACTTTAATGGTAGTGTAAATGGTAGTCGCCCTTTTCTAAACATTTTTTTTCTCTATTTTGTATTTACAATTATTTACATTTAAATATTTTATTTTTGCATGTTTTATTAACACTTTTGTTCTTTTTCACTTATATTGTCCTATAAATGGATGCTTCTGTTGGGCAATAAAGAATTATTATTATTATTATACAGGGTGTTTCAGTTTATTGTTGCATAACTTTAAGATTCGATAGAACTTTTAAAATTAATGCATAAAGTCTATATAAACATGGGTCGAAAAATGCGTGGCTTCCGAAATACAGGGTGTTTAAATTTACTTTCTAAAATAGTTTTTTTTTAAATATTTCGAACAATATTTGATGTATAACAGTGAAAATTGGTATACAAGGGTTTTTTGGTACGGCAAAACAAACTATGGGCATAGTTTCACCGTAGCCGCTAGAGGGCGCTCTCTACTGTGCCTGTAGTGTATTAAAATGACCGAAAAAATTTTCTTAGTGCAATTTTTTGCTTTTTGAATAAAAACACTTTTCAACATAAAAAAGCTCTGTTGTGAATTTTCGTTATAGTTAGCCGTTGTTTAGATATTTCGATTTTTAAGGTTCGATGCATTTTTAATTATTTATGATAAAATAACGTTAAAAAGTCAGTATCTCGATAATTTTTAGAAGTAGGCTGTGCCTGCAAATATTTTTGAAATTGAAAGCAGAATAAGGTTAAACGTCAATTAGTTGACAGTCTTGTTGTCTGTTGAAACCTGAAACGTTTTTTTGCAATTGTGAATGCACGAAATTTAGTTTCTTTTACCTGTTTTTTTTTTTGTAGGTTTTTTGTGTTTATTTGGAGTTAGGAATTATTGCTGTGTTTAAAAACACAATCTAAACGATCATCTTAATTTTCTGTAATGCCCAAATCGAAAATGTAAAAAAAATATTATTTTCCCATAAATAATTAAAAATGCATCGAACCTTAAAAATCGAAATATCTCAAAAACGGCTGACTATAACGACAACTCGCAGGCGAGCTTTTTTATGCACAAAAGAGCGAGGAATTAGTTTTTTTATTCAAAAAGCAAAAAATTGCACTAAGAAAAAAATGTCGGTCATTTTAATACACTACAGGTACACTAGAGAGCGCCCTCTAGCGGCTACAGTAAAACTACGCCCATGGTTCGTTTTGTCGCATCAAAAAACCCTTGTATACCAATTTTCACTGTTATACATCAAATATTGTTCGAAATATTTAAAAAAAAAACTATTTCAAAAAGTAAATTTAAACACCCTGTATTTCGGAAGCCACGCATTTTTCGACCCATGTTTACATAGATTTTATGCATTACTTTTAAAAGTTCTATCGAATCTTAAAGTTATGCAACAATAAACTGAAACACCCTGTATAAGTTGTATCTCCAGTACTAGATAGCTGAAACGCTATTAAGGTGCATCTTTCAAATCAAGTTGCTCACAGGCCTTTACGGCAATATCATAAATGTATATTCCACTTTTGTTTGAAATTCCATCACATAATAAAAAAGCAATAGACAGTAATAGACGTCCGGCAATGAGTAATCATCACCGCTTGCATACTCGTATGCGATTGCAATACAAGGAGTGGCCCTATTCTGAATAAAACAATATTCATTTTGCGCAACCGCAAGCTTGAATATTAAGCGCATATATCTATTCCGTTTGCATTATTATTCATTGTAGACATGGCACAATGCAATTACAGGAGAAGAAATTTCAATATAAACATGAGTCGGATGTGATGGGCTCTACTTACGTGTGAAAAGCTGGTCGTATACAATTGGAATGATAATAATATTTATTTGTTTTCAATTGCAATTATAAATGTTTCAGGTGAAAATGAAAATAATATACAAATAGATAAGAAATACCCACAGAAAGCATAGCCAGTTTATAGCGGGTATAATTGTTATAATAGGTATAATAGTCATAATCGGAAGTTGACGAATCTGAAAATGATATATTAGGAAATACGTTTTTCTTTATTAAAAATATCCGCACTTGTATACGTCAGAATAGTGGCCTTTTTGAACATTTATTGAAATAAAGCTTTGATTATCTAATTTTTTTTTACGAATACAATGCACTCTCTGAAAAAAAACACATGTTTAATCAAAATAAAGGTGAAATTCGGAAAAATACGCATTGTGAAAAAACAGTGGAAAAATAATGCCACTAATCTCCTGTATCTCCGTCACTGCTGCACGTTAATTTCAAGTAACGACTTTTTAATGTGGACAATACTTAGGTAAAGCCACCTTGCCACATTTTAGTTCATTGCAGTTGACGGTTTTGAAGATATTAAAAAAATCGTTTTTAATTTTTAAACTTCAACACCCCGTATCTTTTCAATGAAAATGAGGAAAAAATGTTACATAGAAGACCCCCCTTAAAGTGCGGTCCTGTGTATGATGTTTCATTTTTGGTCACGACTTGTGAATCACCCTGTATATTAGAAACTTTTAAAAGAATCACTTGGAAGTTTGAAAAAGATGAATGCTTTAAGGGAAGCCTGTATAGTTACGTCTAACGACGCCGATAGCAATTTGAGATAAAAAAAAATTAATCAGATATTTATCTTTTGTTACTAAACTAAATAGTATAATATTATTATTAGTCGTTTTTTGACAAAGTTGAATTCCTGCCAGTATCTTGAAAACGGGGCATTTTCGGACGGAATGGGCCATCGATTCGGTTTCAGCCACCCAAAAAGCATATTATAAGACATGTTGCGTTCACGTTCCCGACTGATCCATTTTGTGCCTTTTTGGTAACATGGTAATTATATGTTAAAATGCTTTAAATGCGGTTCAAATGACCTTTATTCCACGTATTTTGGGTTGTCAATACCGAATCCGAGGTCTGTTTACATGTATGTGATCCCGTTTATCATGTAGATCTAATTATACTAAGTGACATATAAATCCGAACACCCAGTTTAAATGGTTTTATTTTAATGAAATTTTGTATAAGTACTTAATGAAGCATAATAAGTAAATGATAAAAATTTCAAAATGATTGCCCTGCTTCAAAGCCCTTTGACCTTTAATAATGTGTGGATGCACCCTGATGTGCTACGCATTCTCCAACGCGCCTAGCCATGCTTCTGATCAGGTGGTCAATGTCCTCCTGTGGTATCTCATTCCAGGCAACAACCAACTCCTCTCGAAGTGTTTCTAAAGTCTGAGGAGGACGTTGCAAATTGAGCAATCTCCTACCCATCA